ACTACTGCAGCACTGTCTGTCCATGACTCCATTGTTCTGTGAACAGGGTGAAGAAGGTGCAGATTCAGGGATTCTTTTTCTTTTCTCCTTGGAGCTGAGCTGTGGTCCTCGGCCCCAGCTGTCTAAATTTCACCCTTCTGCCTTGTCTGGGTTAGATAACCTACAGGGCTTGGGTTCTGGAGAGCTGAGAGCAGCCCCATTATTTTCAGGCACAGAAAGTGAGATTGAAAGGAACTTTGGAGAGCACAGGGATTTAAAAAAGAGACGCAAAATAAAAAATGGAAATATCCATTTCACTAAAAGGCAGGAAATGAATGTCACTAATTGTCTGTTACCCTGAATAGAAAAGTAATTGCTGAGCATCACATAATGTCCTGTAAGTACGCGAGAGCAGCCAGACAAGAAATAGATGTTTTAGGTAATGTTTCCTCCTATGTTTTGCTTTACAGAAGTCTTCAAAAATAAATTTAACTCTGTCATATGTCAAAACAAGAGAAGCAATTTCCTCTTGCACCCAGCACTGGGAAACGGCAGCAATAAGCAGTCTGTCAGGCAGCTATGATGATGATGATGGTTTGTCGTTTAGAAGATGCTCATCCCCAGTGTTTGAACTCTGGAATTGCCATCTGAGGCTACAGAGAGGCTGATGGCCGGACCCTTACTCCTGCTGTGAAGGAGGGGGCCTGGGGATTCAGAGGCTCGCTCGGACTGCCGCTGGGTCGGCCTGCGGCCCAGCTGGGAGCCTCCTGGTAACCCAGTGTGCACTGGCCTCTGGGACAGGCTGCCTGTAGCTGCAGTAAAGGGACAGGCTTTAAAAAATGATGAGGCTGCTCACACGTGCTAGGGCTCGTTCTGAGGGAGCTGGCGTCTAGACTTTGCTCAGCCAGGCGTAGCTCAGAGCCGCTTCTGCAGCTGAACAGAGGGTCGGCCCGCGTGTGCTGGGACAGCCCAGAGCAGCTCGTTCGTTACAAACGCCTCCAGGCATGACGTCGTTTACCGCAACCCAAGATAATAAACAATGGCTGGTCGGCTACAGAATCGTTTCTTGTTCTTGCGATTTTGGTTTCGACGTGAAACGGATTTCAGATCTAAAATCGGGGCTTGGGAAGGGTGGAGGGCGTTTAGGGTCGTCACCTTCCTGACATTTTCAGCTTCTTCTCAGGTACGGGAGTTCTCCGCAGTGCAAGTCCACCTCTGGTCTGCTATCGCATCGCTTCTCTTCCAAAAAAACTCCCTCCTGCATTTGAACATTTGTTGCCGTGTCCCAGCAACAAATGTATTTGTGGCCGTGTGCCTCCTTTCTCTCTGTTCGAACTGAGTACTTGGGCTTTTTCTCGGGGTTCGCCGTGACGGTGGTGCTCCAGGGGAGGGGGGGGCGCCCCGAGAGCCTCTCGTGCTGCTGTGAGTGTCGGAGGCAGTGCAGAAAGGTAGCTTGCAAACCTGCAGATCCGCCTCCCTCTCGTCTGCGCTGCACTGCAGCTGCATTCTGAGGGAAATACGCCAGCTTTAATAAGCAGGTATCCACTTAATCGCAGCAAAATTTAGCACAAATTGAAAAGCAGTTCGGGGTCAGCGTTGCTCCGTGCGTCCTTGTCGCTCGTGCATGCGTGTGTGTGCTGCGGGGGGGCAGGGGGGGCCGTGGGGTGCAGCGGGGTCGTGTGCACCTGGCGCTCGGTTTCATCTTGATGAGATAGGGAGACACCGAGACACTCGGTTCCCTCTCCCAGCCCAGAGCGCTGATGTGAGGGAGGCCTTCGGCCAGTTCCTTTACCCCGAACGCTCGTCTGTCCGGCTCTCGCCGTGGTGTCATGGAATAATGGTCGGAAGTGAGATTTCGCAGTTTCCACTTTCCCTTTTCCGAGCTGGTGCAGATCCGTGTTGCCGAACGCAGACAAGGCAGTGTCTCATTAGGAGAGTGGACTTCTGTCTTGATGTGGATGAGCACTCAACTGTGTCGTCGTCGTCGTCGTCATCATCATAACCTTTATTTTATGTAATGCCTTTAAAAGTAACTTGTCGTGTTTTTTTAAAGAGGAAACAAATTAACAAGGAGAAGAGGTTACAAAATTAGCCCACTTAAAAACAAGGGTTTGGAATGTAAGAGAAGCTGCAGGGGCCAGGCGGGGTTTTGAGTCTGGATTTGAAAAAGCGCAGGGAAGGTGACTTTCTGGTATCCTTGAGGAATCCGATCAATTGCTTCCGATCTGTGAGTGGGGATGCATCACAGATCAGACAATTGATTATGTGCTGATTGCACCTCAGCTCGTCAGATGTACTTCCGCCACAGACGAGGCAGTGTCCCCAATTGCTTGGAAAGATCTTCCAGTGTAAAGGGGTGTTCTTCCTAAAAAAATGTGTTTTTTTGTGCATTTTCTTTGTCATCTCCTCAGGACCTCGAAGTTCTGTCTCAGGAGATTGTGCGTCTCAGCAAAGAGGCCTCCCCGGTTTTGGGACAGGACCCAAAAACGATCGACTAGGAGCAGCCAGGCCTCCCCCGTCGCAGCTCTGTCCTGCCCAGCTCCAGTGGTCACCCAGAGGCGCAGACTGGGGAGCTGTGTTCCAAGACTGGACCTGAAAATGCTTGTTGTCAAGCAGGGAGCAGGAAGTGGGTGGGGCAGGAGGGGCATTTGCTACTGAATGTATTTACTGTAAAAAAAAAAATGCTTTTCTCTCCCATCAGTCAGAAAAAAAGTGAAACTGGACTCCTAGGCATGCCATCTTACAGGCATTTGCTAACGGCTTCCTTCGGGCTGGCATGCTGGGAATAATGAAGATGGAGGGAGGGGCTAGGAAGCTCTCTGGGGACGGGGGTGACGATGCACTGCTGTTCTCGACCTCTAAAGGGCAGGGGGGTGTAGACCAGTGGGAGGCGTGAGACAGTTGTTCCTTTGCAAGTGTGCTTGGGAGGGGGCTGCTGCTTTCATTTTTGGTGCAGTCGTAGTCAAAGCTTCAGGCACGGTTATATTCCGCAGCGTGTTTTCAGGTCGACTCCATGTACTCCAAAAAATGGCTTGACAGTGATTTTAAAAAAGGGAAAAGCTTTGCCCATGCGCATACCAGATACACTGATACCACGTGCTCTTAACTGTCTCATTTCAGCTGCGATGTGCTTCTAGTCCTTGTAGCTGATGCAAGTAGCTCCATCCCCTGAACTTGCAGAGAGCCAGAGAGCATTAGCAAGGGTACAGAGAAGCATCAGGTTCTCATTCTAACAAACCTAAAGTGACCCTCTGCCTCTGCTGGCGTGACGAAAGCACTCTGTGCGCCACAGCCCTGTTTGTGCAAAATGTCTCCCACAGTGCTCTTCTCCCCTTGCTGATTCCACCCTCGTCTCTGATGAAACTCCGATTACACAGCAAACAAGAAAAAAAAACTGGAGGAAAATTTTAAAAGCTGCTTAACAGCGATGGTTCTGAAGTTCAAAATCAAGTTGCACAGCTTTCTCAGGAGTTCGGAGTATGAGAGATTATCAGCCTTTTCCTATTACCTTTTTCGATAACTGAGCTTGTTAATATTAGAGCTCAGCAGCAAATAGGCTTATTTTATAAATATATATATAATGTGTATATTTGCTCCCTTTGATAGTAAGGAATCTGTTAGCTTTACGTGTATGTCCGTTTCAAAGGAAATAACTGAAGTATTCATAATGAAGGCACAGCAGTCACTAACACCTGGTACACTGTACTGTAATTCAGTGCTTGGTCTATGTGGTCCTGTTATTTCAGGTTATTATTTAACTTCTTGTGTTTTATGATTTATAGAAATGGCACTTAAAAAATGTCATTCCAAAGCATGGAGGACGGACGTTCCTGAGTTTTCATTGTCAACAGCAGAGGACTCCAGTGCTCCTCTCTCACAGACTGATGTGTTTCCTCCACGTCCCTCTGAACGTTTTGTGCAAAGTGTTCACCATGTGGTCTCATTGTCGGCTGTATCCTGCAATGTCCTACTGCTTGTACCAGCCTTTATCACCAAGAGAAAACAAAGTGTTCTCCATCTCAGGCTCTGAGTTCCAGCCGCTCCTGCTGCGTTTGGAAGAGAGCAATCTCTTGTCTGTAACTGCCATTCAGCAGCTGGTGAACGTACCACCATTGCTCAGGCGCGGAGAGTCTTTGAATGGGTGAAGGCCAGGAGTCTGATGAAGTTCTGCGTGATGATCCCGGAAGGGCCAGGGCTGGACCTACTGACCACACAGGTCTCCGGCCCTGCTCCTGCAGAGGCCTAATCCAGACAGCTTGACAGGTCCCCATGATCCGTTTCTAAAGACGGGGAAGCATGGCATAAGTGAGCGGTGTCTCAATCACTATGGCTTGAGACAACACTTACTAAATACATCTGAATACCTTTAACCGGTTAGTGTTCTGTCAAAAGTGAAGTGAGACAGTCTGCTTTTCCCTTCCTTTTTCTAAGCAACAGTTTTGCACTGTCAGTGAAGATGAGGGGGTGGACAGGTCAGTGTGTCTGCAGCAGGGCTGGTCCAGTCTTGGTCCCGGAGGGGGTGGAGAGGTCAGTGTTGCTGCAGCAGGGCTGGTCCAGTCTTGGTCCCGGAGTGGCTGGTCAGTGTGTCTGCAGCAGGGCTGTCCAGCCCTCATCCTGAAGGGGCTGGGCAGTGTGCCTGCAGCAGGACTGTCCCCTCCTGCAGATTTTCTGCATCTCTTGCTGGGAGAAGCTGTTAAACTGGTCCAATAAAACCAATAATGATCGTTAGAATGAGAATCTGCAGACACATCAGCATCCAGGAACAGGATTGGGCACCCCTGGTGTGGAGTGTTAGTTGAACCTGTTGCACAGGTCATGGCCATGTGTGTTCGAATAGGCATTTACAGTTTAATATCCCCCAACAAGGGGCTGGTAGTCATGCTGGTTATCTCCAGGGGCTTGTCAGCAGGTTCGCCCTGTGGGAATGAGAGAAGAGTGGGGAATTTCAAAGGAAGGGCAGGATGTCTAATCTCAGTGTTTTTACAGGATTTTTAACGGATTATTTTCTTCTGGTGAACGGTACCTTTCCTACCAAAAACGCATTAAAGCGCCAGTCGCAGATGTCTGAGAAGGCTCCGGACTTCTCCACCCTCCTCTCCTGCAGACTTGCGTACCCCATTGTCACACCGCACAGCACCCCAACTCACCTTGCCAAAGGGACCGGGGCTCCTTGACCCTTCTGAGCCAACAAAGACGTGTGAAGAGAGGAGATCGTCCGTGCAGAATAAAATCCATGATATGTAACAGTCTGTCTGTGTGTCCTGTTTGCCATCTGGTGTTGTGGTGTGTACCTGTTGCGCTCCTGTGATCTTTTTAAACTTGAGAGCAGTTTCTCTCCCTGTTCTTCCCGTGGGTTCGGAGGCTCCAGGTGGAGACTCTCCTCGGCTCTGTCAATCCGAGTTGTCGCTCCCCTCGGGCTGTGGAGGCCACAGGAGGTCAGCTGATGCCTGGCTCCTCAACTGGAAGGCAGTGACATTGGAGAAGTGCCTCTCCATGTCTCATTGCCCCAGGAGCTGGTACAGGAAAAGCTGTCAGAGGTGCTAAATTTTAAAAACAACAGGTAGTTGTATGTTAAAAAAAAGCAGTTGGCTCCTGTTTTCAGCATCAAATTTACCTTTTGTCTGTTGTCACTTGTCTTTTGGTCCCTTTTTGTTTGAAATGAGACCTGTTGATGTACAGTGATAATGCGATAGTTTAAAGCTTATTAGGCACATACAAACTGTGCTTTTAGATAGCAGTTTTTGTTGATGGCTGTTTATAATACTGTTCCCTATGCTGACAAACTACTGAGCTTGTGTGCTATCATGACAGGAGTTCAGTGCTGGGTAGCTTGAAGCGATTAAGAATCTGTAGAGACTGCCAGTCCAATAGACATGATTTTAATGAAAGCAATGACAGCAGGAGATATGACCACACCCTGCTTGGGTAATGAAGATGGTCTGGGTGCCAGGCAGATTGGCAGCGGAGGTGTCTGGGGAGTGAGATGTTCTGCAGCAGACTAATCCAGAGCAGCTGGCTCTCTGAGGGACAGGCTCTGGCCTCGAGGACAGAGGGACACAACACTGGCCCATCTGACCTATCTGCATGGTCATTTACAGTGGCTACAGTCCGAGGAAATAACTGGCCTATCAGCAGAATAGCTGTAGTGCACCAGCTGCATGCTCAGAGGCTGTTCAGGGAAAACCATGTTTTCCCTAACAGCACACATGAAATTGCCATCTTCTGCCATCTCTTCTCCAGAGAATATGAACTGGTGACGGAGTGGGTTGGAGTGTTTAATTCACTGATGAATGCCATTTTGCTCATGACAGACCTGGAGGAAGAAGAAAGCTAGGCACCATGTTTTCTGTTCTGCTGTTCAAGACCACTGGCGGTATAGTGGCAGTGTGATGATATGAGACACACAGGATCACCTCTGACACAGTCTGTAGGAAGCCTTACTGGTCAAAAGTCATCGCGTCAACAGTTTTTCCATTATTGGAGGTCAGCATGACAATATGAGACCCAGTGCCGGGGCTACTGGAAGCGTTCTGGAAGCCATCCTCACGTCGAGGCTCTGTCACGGCTGTGCTTCTCTCCTGCCTGCGGTCTGACAGAACATCTGTGGGACCAGCTTGCCAGCTGTGACCGGCCTGCAGCAGCAGGAAGAGCCGGAAACATCCCACAGCTGTCTGTCCAGAGGCTGATCAGGACTGAGAGTCAGCACCGCCAGCCCTGTCTCTGTTCTCATTTTGACAAAAATGTGTCAATTAGAAAACTGAACACAGTTCTTTAATCAGCAATTCTCTTCACATGTCTGAGACAGTTTTAAGAGATTTTCATTAAGTCCAGTAGACCCCAGTGCTCTGCTTCTTTCTGCATCTTAAATAGCCGAATTTGAAGTTTGAGAAAGTGAGTCCTTTGCTTTCCACCATTTTTAATTCAAAACTGTCATGTTTGGCAAACATTGAAGAGGAGTTTTTTTGCAATCTTTCAAAGATTTTGAAATAGTTTTTGGAAACTTTCATTTCATTTCTGTATATTTTATAGTTCTTAGTGGAAGGGAATGTCACAAAAGTGTTGAGATGTAATTTCAAAACCAGGGTGGTAACAGTGTATGGTACAGTCCATGGTATTATGTCCTTATAAGATAACACAAACTCTGAGTGTGAATCCCATGCTATGTTTGTGGAAAAGAGGATGTGGCCATGATGGTATGCAGAAATGTCTGTGATCCTGGTTTCTGAATATGGGTGTCGGATTTGTTACACTATCTGCTGACTGGAACAGGAGACAAAGGCCAGAGTCATGGAGCTGGACTGCTGTTCCTTGTGGTTTGGGACAGTTGGATCTGTACCAGTGGATGTCCTGGCCTCTTTAGCCTTTTCTCTTTGTGCTGAACTCCTGTTTTTAAGGACGCACGTCTCGGAACCCTTTAGCACTGTCACAGTGCAGTGCCAGCACGCTCTCGGTAACTGATGGGTCTCAGGAGTGAGTTCTACACAAGCACACGGGAAGAGCACGCATGACAGCAGGGGGGTGACACTATCCTGCAATAGACGGGACATCCTGAAGCTCCGTTCCTGAGAACAGTATTTTCTCATGTTTGAATAGCCTAGGTTTGTGAACTCTTGCTGTGCATCTGCATCCCCCTGGAACCTACTGTATGCCTGAGGAATGTTTTCACTTGCGTGTTTTCAGTGATGTGAAGAAATAATGTGACTTGAGCTGTACATTCCGATGTAGAAATTGTTTGGTCAACATGCTGATCTCTTTTTTTTTGTCTTCAAAAATGTCTTCTGAAATAAAGTCCCGTGGCCGAAGTGTCTGCAGCCGTGCTCCAGCAGCGGTCGCACACGTGTCCACAGCGACATGAAAACTGAAAAACACAAAGCCAGCCGTGCAGTTGCGTTCAGACCCGCAGGTTTTAATTCGGCTACACGTCTATCGCGGTTAACCGCGTCCGTGTCTCCGAGTCAGGTCGCTCGTGTGGGTGCGCACACCGAGCCGCTCCCGGGGGCTGGGACAGACCCGCCGGTCTCACAGGATTCGCCACCCTCTCTACTCCGAGTGCTGTTCCAGACTGTAACACGTGAAGCCACGTGGTCCTAAATTGCGTTCACTACATTTTCTGTTCCTCAGTCCGGTTCCGGTGATGTTTAACAGCAGTGCTTTGGAGTAACTCGCTTCCATCGTCTCCTTTCAGCATTGTTATCAGTAGTAGCAGCAGTGCTGTTTTCGGCTGACACCTTTATTTTAAGACAAGTTAATTAAATCTAACAGCACGCAGAATTACAAAGTAAATGAACGAACCCCACAGGCGGCTGCACCTCAAAATCTGCACAGCGCCTCTGAGGAGCGGGAGCGAGCTGCACCTGTGTCGGACACGGATTAACAGATCATTTACCCAGCAGGGGGGACAGACGAGATCGCTTCGAGAACTTTAACACCGTTTGTGATGCGCCGGCTTGCGCCTCTCCACAGGTTAAAGTTGCTCAACGGAAATAAAATCAATACGGTCCAGCTGCAGGTTGACATCAGTGGACCATGTCCACCATTGTAACTGCTCGCCAACACGATCTTGCACTGATGCGATTGGCGATAAGCGCGCTGCCCCCGGTTTCGTATTTTGCTGTTTTTAATTTTGACTGGGGCGGACTCCCCACTCCCTAAACTCGGCGGATCACATCTCCGGCGGGGCCCGACCGGGGGGTCCGGGCTGGGGAGCGCTGGAGTCCGGCTGCGGCCCGGCAGGCGCTCCGCTAAGGCCTCGTTGGGGTTTGCTCCAGTAGCGTGGGGCCACACATCTACCGGGCTCCCCAAAGCAAAATACAGACCTCGAGACAAGATGCGCCTTCTCCCGAAAGCGAGAAAAAAAGCGGGCAGGAAATTCAATAAGTTTTAGTGAGTTGTTGAAGTTTAAAAGTGTCTTTTTTTTTAAAGAAAAACGACTTTGTTTTGCTGTTGGTTTCCACGAGGGAAATTAAGGAAATATGTCGAGGCACATTTAATTTTCTTTATTTTTTAATTGCATGTCTGCGCGGAAGAGATAATGGGTCCGTAACGTCACGGGCCGGGAGGTTAATTACGGTTCGGTGACTCGGATGTCCCCAGCAATTAAAAGTGGGATGTCTGTTTCGCCACTTTTTGGGGTGTAGAACACCAGTCTCGGTAGACTACGCGTTTCTAAACGTGCAAATTTGAAAATGATTATTTGAGAGATGAACTGAGATTCAGCGAGAGATTTTCTGTTCTGATTCTTTCATTTTGTAACGACAAGGGATGACGCTAACCACGCACTGTCCTCATATTACTGCTGGCGTAGTTATGACTTTTTAAAAATAACTGAGTTTATTTAACACTAAGGACTAAAATTCAAATCCAGCGCTCGGAACGACTAGTCTAACCTGAAGACGCAGAATAACGGTGTGTGTGGCACTTTGTAATTCAAATACTGCTTGAATAAAAGATAAGTATTATTTATATATATACAGAAACCGATCGCTTAGGAGAAAAAAACACAATTTAAACACCGAGGGCAGATGTTATCTCATTTTTCTTCGGTTAATCAGTTATTCATGAGCACAGTAAGACGCTCTCGAGAGACCCCGCGGATCAATAGGCTACCTGAGCCGTCTCGCGGTCCCGCACGCGCCGCCGTCCCCATCCCTCGCGACTCCTTTGCTACCCATCCTCTCGCGGTCGGTTCAGTGCGAATTTGTTGTTGTTTTTTTTTGTTGTTGTAAATGATACAGTGGAATGGAAACAGGTCGCAAGAGGCCCGAAGCGGCGAGTGCTGAGTGTGGAGAATTTGAACAGAACCCTCCCCTGCCACTGCGGCTTTGTGAAGAAATAATACTTGCGTGCCCGGAAGGCGATAAAAAAACAACAACAACAAACTTTTCTGGCGTCAAAAATAATCTTACTTCATGCAGCACCTTTCACAGGGAATTATGAGGCTGTAAATATGAGATTCACTGAGCGCACACACCCGCTGGTTCGTTTACGCACGTCGGAACCTGAGGCGGACCGCTGACTCTTCAGGCGCGTCTAGAATTTCATCTAATATCTCATTTTCAGCTCGAGTTTTCAGTTTTAAGGACACTGAAGTGCTGTAAGCCCGTCGCCTCAGGCCAGAGGAAAGGAGGGTCGCTGCAGGAATTTCTGAGCCCAGAGGCAGGGAGCCCCTGTCGGGCTGTAGCTTCACTAAGGTTGAAGATGTTGTTTTTTGTGATGACGTCCCATTCCTCCCTTCACGAGTTCTAATGAA